TTCTGATTATTACTCATTTTAGAACGTATTCTGAAAATACGTTCCGTTTTTTCAGACTTGAAGAAAATCCTAAAATTTGTCAACTGAAAAATTTAAGAATATGTTCTGAATATAAAATTCATCGAACAGGGCTGCCTGGGTGGCTCAGTGGGTTGAGCCTCTGCCTTCGGCTCAAGTCATGATCTCAGGGTCGTGGGATCGAGTCCCGCATCGGGCTCTCTGCTAGGCAGGGAGCCTGCTTCCTCCTTCCCCCTCCCCCCTGCTTGCCTCTCTGCCTACTTGTGATCTCTCTCTGTCAAATAAATAAAAAATCTTATTAAAAAAATTCATTGAGCAGTTGCTCACTTTCTTCCCTATTTTAAGACTACCAACTCCAGTGTCTTCTAATTACTTCTGAAAGCAAGCTCATTAGGTGTTAATGTTCTTGGGTCCTTCTCCCTAACACCTGCTAAACTTGCTTAAAGTTACCGAAGCTCTTTACAATCTGAGTGAAGAGGAGAAGAAGCTGGATGTAGGGGTTGGGGGTGGGAAACAGCTGGCATGAATCCTAAAGCTTCCAGAGTAGGGAGTGTGAGGTCCACCGTGACGGGGACTACCTGAGAGGCATATGTGTCATCTTCATAAAAGAAATTTTAGGACTAATACTCTTATTTTCATAACATTCTGAATATTGATATATATGATAATTCATTCTTTGATGTATTAAATCGTCCAACAAATCTTGAAGAGCACCCATTACATATTGGGCACTGCACAGGGACCTGTAAGCAAAAATGACTGAAACAATATCAACAAGATTATTTCTATGTGAATCAAAATCTCACTTAGCTCCGGAGCAAAAGCTTTTCATAAATTGTGAATTCCATGCATTGGTATGTGCTTTACCATGTGAGATAGAACTATATTATTAAAAACTGTTTTTGCACAATGTGCAAACATAAATTATTATGTGACTAGCAATGCTGCATAAATACAGATTCATTTTCCATTACTTTCATGCTGGAAAACTACAGAAAATGCTGGCAAACTTCCATTTAATGTAATGCAAAATATATGATGACAGTTCTGAAAATGTTTTTAGACAAAAATGAGAACAAATTTTAAGCTTTTTAAAACTTGGCCCAGAAGCGCAGGCCCATTAAAAGCACTTTTCAAGGAGAAACTTCACTTAAAATTAACAATGAACATTTGGAAAACAAATTAAAAAAATCATATTAATATTAATTGATTTATACGGCTATTGTTGAAAACAACCTGTTTCACAGACTGTACCATTCCCAGGAAGATTTCCTTTGAAAAAGAATATAAACCAATGTCCTGTAGCTGAGCCAACCCAACAAAGGCAGGGCAATTAGCAGTTTGAAGATGGGTGTTGGGAAGAGTAAAGGACTGAAGTTAAATGATTTCTGAAACTACTTTTAGGAGACACTGTTTTCCTTGTTATTCTTCTTAAAGTTCACCATTTCAAAAGTTAAAATGGACTCTTGTTAAGAAGAGAAAATACGTCTGATTTCACGGTTGAAGAACAGACACAACTTTTTAGAGCACAGATCTACGGTAATCTTATCATGAGAACTACAGATTAGATTAGCATCTAGAGAGGGCCTGGCATATGGGGAGACTGAGATCACTTCCAGCAAATGAACGAATCGAGAGGCACAGCCTCCGTAAACACTTGCTGTGACGAGTGCCATAGGAGGGTACATGAATCTGGAGTTGGGATGCCCGTCAGTAGCTGTGGGGTATTTGAGTCATACAAACTATGGTGTCTTAGGTTCCTCATTTAGAAACTGTGGATGAGAACAACTTTTGCAGGGATGGTGTGTAGCTATTTGGTTAAATTTGCTATCCCTCCTGCAAATATCATCTCATTAAAATTTAACAAAATTTTCGGAGATCAGGGTTATTTTTTCCATTTTGTAGTTGAGAAAACCAAGACCAAGCAATGGAGGCAGGATTCAAACCCAAGCCCTACGGATTCCCAAGCTCACATCAGAGCAGCATACTACCTGTGTGTACGCTTCCCCAAAGGATTTTTACGTGTACGAGAGAAACATATTTGCCCCCTAACTTCCAGCTCCCAGATCCTTTAATGGGTCGAAAAGTGATATTCAGTACAAGTATGACACAGATACCCCTTTGCGTAAGAACTTCAGAAGTGTGAGTTTTCATTGATTAGAACTCAGTTAAAATCAGAGCAAAAAAGCTTGCTTCCAACAGATGGCAACAGCAAACACACTTTAGATCTACAGACTCAGAATTAGCCTTTTTGACCCTAACATATTTATAGTAAGTTGTTTCTGTACATTAACACATGAGAAGATCCATAATAAGAATTCACTAAAGGCAATTTCTTTGAAAAATGTCAACCTAATTTACTAAAGAAAAACATACAGCTGAAGCTGTTTGCAAGGAATAAGATGAACAGCCTCTATTAATGCTAATTGGAATTCTCATATCCACACGTACAATGCAGAAAATTTACGTCTACACTTACTCTTCCTGCCTCGAAACTGCAGGAAGTCCACACCAAAATGCTGGCTTTTAAATCTGAGCACTAATGCATGAAAATTGATCATTTTTCTTATGATTATATTTACAAATTTACAAATTACAGATGGAATCTTACTCTTTACAAAGCAGACAAGGTCTTCATTGTTATTTAAAGGAGGAAAACCTGAATGTCCTGGCAAAGTTAGGAATTTGTTTCAAAAGCTGAACTTTCCCATTTCTCAGTGTTTGCCACTTTAATAACATCCTTTCGACAAATACGAATGCTAGTATATTTGGGCAAGATGGTTTAATATTTTAACTTCCATAAATAAACAAACACACAAAATTAAATGAGTGGTGTACTTTTCCTTATGTCCACAATGACCGGTCATATAAATATATTCACATATGTAAGTTTACTAATATCTACTGGAAATATCTTTGTATTAAGTCTCTAAATACTTGGGACCATGGTATTGTCTTGTTCTTTCAGGATAATTCAAAAAACCAAACTCAGAATTTGCATCAATTCATCAAGGCAAGCCCTGGAATGCTAATTAACCTTAACCTATTTATTATTAGAGATAAAAATAATGTATAATATTTTCAATAAATAAAACTTGAAGCATGTTACTCTCTCTTCTTCACCGATTAACAACAAAAGATGAGTTGTCACCTGCAGGCAATTAGAAATTATGTCCTATTGCAATTTAAAAGTCAGAAGAGGTGTGAGGGGTTGGGAGGGCCTGGTGGTGGGTATTAAGGAGGGCACTATTGCATGGAGCGCTGGGTGTGGTGCATAAGCAATGAATCTTGGAACACTGAAAAAATAAAACTAAATTAAAAAAAATAAAAGTCAGAAGAGGCTAAGAATCACACATAAACAGAGTTTTCATGGAAAAAATACAAATTTTAGTTTAGGAATATCACAGTTATGAAAAAAAAAAAAAAGTCTTCCCAGAATACTCCAGATGGTTAATTCTTGCTTAGGTTTTCAACTGAAGGGTGTATCAAATTGAAAGAGCTTACCTGTACAGTGGTGAGTCAGGTACTGTACTTGAGCTAGGAGAGTTTTTGAAGATTTAGTAAGGAGAAGTAGCTCTTGATGCTGTAGCATACTTGGGCCTAATATTAGCATCGCTGGCCATGGAAAGAATTGTTGACACTCTGACTAAGGCCTCTTGGAGATTAGAGAAAATGCCAACTAATTTCTCATTCTATCAGAGTAAGAAGTGGAAAGCTATTTCCTCATTCATTCAACAAAAAGTTACTGAGCCTTTATTTTATATATGCCATATATTATACTGGTGTCCATCTGGAACTTAGAATCTAGTTGTGTAAGAAGACATGTGTGTAATGAACTAAGTTAGGAATCAGAACGGCATGGTAGTACATGTAGGGTAAGAGCAGGGCAGAAAACAAGTGATACTAACATGTGAGTACTGAGAGACACACAGTGTAATCTCTGAATTGCTATATTACTATCAAAATTCAAACACCTGTATCTTAGTTTTCCATTACACTTTATCATGAAGAACAGCATTATTGCTAGTTAAAATAATTGAACCTCTAAACTTAGAGACTTCTATTCAGTTATGTAAACAAAAATTTAAAATAGTAAAGCAATTTATGACTATCTGTAAATAACATTAAAAGGAAATGGTATGTCCTAGAGAGGAAAAAGACAATTATAACGAATTGAGGCGGGGGGCACCTGGGTGGCTCAGTGGGTTAAGAGTCTGCCTTCAGCTCAGGCCATGATTCCAGGTTGCTAGGAATCAAGCTCCACGTCGGGCTAGGAAGTCTGCTTCTCCCTCTGCTCCCCCTCCCCTACTTGTGCTCGCTCTCTCTCTCAAATAAATAAATTAAATATTTTTTAAAAAAGAATTGGAATTAAAGATGATCTCTGGTTTACTTAAAGCACTGTTTTGCATTGTTTTTTCTTATAAAATTGAGGTCTATTTTTTGGTTGTTGTTTATTGGTTACAAACATTTTTCTGTATGTCTCAATTAGGTATACTCATATATACGCTCAAACCGACAAGGTTCCCAATAGGGATGATCATTCACTCTCTGCAAAGTGAACATATTGCCTCAGGGGTCCTGAAGTATTATATCAAGGTAGCCCTTGACATTTTTCCAAGTGGAGAGCACTTCTGAGGGCATGTCACAATTAATTAGACAGGATGGCATTCTATTTTAGTAAAGGTTTTGCGTACTTCACTACACAAAGAACTAACCAGCTGATAATAAAAATGCCCTTCAGAGAAGGGCTTAAGATGGGAGACGAGCCGCACACGGGAGAAAGAGTTTCTTACACGTTTTTTGTTCTTATAGCTTAAAGTGCTTAATGACAACATTTTGTACATGAAAAGATAATGAACAGTTTTCAGCTACACGGGCCAGAAGGAAGACAACAAAGGAAGTCTGATCATATAATTAAAAAAGTTATCAAAAACAAACCGCAAACATCTCCCCCTCCAGTATCATCAAAAAGCCGAACTTACCTGATCTACCATCCAGAGGTCCAAAATCCAAGGAATATTTCACGACGTGATAGTTATTCCATACGTAAAGAAGGTTGTCCCTGGGGTTGTAATCCACAGCTGCTATGTACTGGTACGAGTTGGGAAAGGGGACATCCACCAAACTATCCTTACTTTGGTCGGTGTTGTAAATGTAGTCAATCTTATTCCCTGTGGCCTCATTGTCATCATCCTCGTAGACAGATTTGACCACATACAGAATCCCGCAGATCATAAATGCGTTGGAAGCGGATCTTTTATCGTACGCAGTATCCCAGGTCCCTTCAATCCGTAGGGTGTAAGGGTTCAACTGACTGATGACAATTTTACCATTATTTTGTTCTGTTGCATAGATCACCCAGAGCCCATTTTCATCCACTGCCAGGTCTATGTCAGATTTGCCTCCCCATCGGTAAGGGGAGGTATCATGGTAATTGGCGTTTGCTATGATCGCCTCTCCGCTCTTTATCCTAGTCCGCAGATCGAACTTTACTATGTTCCTGGTGCGCTCTTTGTTGAAAAACAGAGCTCCGTCGTACACTACAAACCCTGTGCCATCCACCCTGTGAGGGAGCTTGTAGGTCGTAGTAGGTCTTCCGGCGATGAAGTCGTCCTTGGAGGAGTACTCAGTGAGGGTGTCGGTTCTGTAGGGCGTCCAGGGCATATAATAAATCTTGTCAGAAGCCTGCAGAGGGTCTTTGCACCACGCCCCAGATTGGTGGTCGGATTCAAACAAGTGCTCACTCTGGTATACTCCTTTCAGTAGTCCAGGACAAAGAAAAACTGTTGAAAGGGAAAGAGTTAAAATAATAAACATATTAATTTTAAAATTTTGTTAGAGATTTTTCTTTTTCATCAAATGGAATGTAACTCGAACAAGATATACCCGCCACCACTTAATTCTTTCGTTGCGTTCTTCTGAGTACACATATTAATTCTGACTTTTGCTCAAAATCATTTTGATTTCATTTGCTGAAAAATGTGGCCTCTCTAGGAGTACTTGTGTTTTCCTTTGATTTTTACCTTTGTAAACATGTGATACTATATTTTACCTTTGTAAACATGTGATACTATATGATACTATATATAGTACATACTATACAGGTGTGATGTATGTCTCTGTATTCTACAGACATAAAATAAATACAAATGTTCTTACACAATATTTTATGTATCTTATTTGAAATTAAATAAATATATTGTTTTCACTCTGATGTTAGCCCCTCAATAACTTATCATTAAGACATAAATAGAAATCCAATACTAATTAAGTATAATAATAAAGGAAAAGAAAAGCCCTATAATACAGGCCACTGAATCTTCTAGCAAAAAAATAAAACAAAACCAGAAAACCTCTTAAAGCTACTATAGCACACACGGAGCATGCAACCCACGCAATTAAAAATGGTTGATGGATGGATACTGGGAGGAAAAAGAGAAAGGAAGAAAAAGAAAGGAAAGAAGGAATAAGGAAAGAAGAAAGGTGAAAGGTTACAGAGAAAAGAACCCAAGATCTAGATTTTAATCAGTTAAAAATGTCCTGTTAAATACAGTAGTATTGGAACTTAAAAACATGTACCTTTTACTGTTACATGAGAAGAACATTAAAAAACAAGATTACTTGCTACAATATTTTGCTGCTCGTACTTCAGATTGAAAATGGGCAGGAATTATCTGATTCACTTCATTTTCAGTATGATTCAGTAGCACACTGTGTGAATGAATAGTGGTAAGCAGCCCTGGCCGGCGTGTAATGCAGGGGCTATAAAGCAATGTTTCCCAAAGAGTGGTCCTTGCAGCACCTGTTTCAAGTGGTATAACTAGATGTTACACAGAAAGAAAATAGGGATCCTCAGCCGTGTTTAAGAAATAGTATATTAAATAGAATTGTGGCAGAGATTCTAATAGCTTTGGCATATCGGTGAATCTCCCAGGCAGGAGTGAGGAAGATGAACAAATTTCACAATCTAATTTAATCATGGAACCTTTTCTACAGAGCCTGTTTAAAGTGTAGTGTTCTGTTGAACCTGCTATGGGAAACACTGCTCTAGTATTTTTGCCAAGCAAATACACTGAAAAATAATCATGCAGTCCAATGTTATATTTGAAATGATTAGAAGGGTACTGGGTGGAGAAATTAAGAAATCATAAGGAATTCGGATGTTGAACCATATTTTAATGATTAAAGTATTATTCTCTTAATATTAGTCATTAGCTCTTTAACTGCAACTATAAGCCTAGATCCAATGGAAAATGAGCTAAGATAAAACTCAGCTAGGATGTGCAGGTTATTAAAAAGGAGAGTGCACTATTAAAATGTCCGAAGTTTTACTTTTGTAGAAATGAAAAGTTCAAGGGCCAAGCTGACCACCAAAATCTTCCATAGCAAGGATAGAGGGCTTTCATCAATTTGTACTCAATAATAAAATTGATGATTAGAAGAATTTCTAATACGATGCCTATAATTATAAAGAATGGAGAGGCATTGTTGTCAAAATTGCATATAAACTTTAAGTTGGTTAATAATGAGCCCATCATTACTAAAGTAATTTATTAGAAGGTATTTCAGAAAACTGTCTCCCCTTTTCCCCCAACAGTTAAGAATTAATAAAACGGGGAGACCACACCAGAGCTATGGAAAATTATCTAGTATAGAAATAAAAGCAAATTTAAAGCAGTCATATCCACCACCATTTACTGGATTTTCTAACTACTTATTTAAAAGTAAAGAGGAAGAAAATGCACGGTTGAAAATTTTACATGATTAAACTGTTTTAGGATAAACTGGTCATCACAACAGATTAAAGTGAAGTTGAGCAGCAGAAGTAGTAAATAAATTTTCATAAAATAGATAAGAATTAATACAAAATTATTTTAACTAAATGTTAAACTGTTAAATAACTTAGCCTATAAATAGTATATAATTTATGAAAGGTATTTAATTACCTTTTTGTTCCACTTCTATTGGAGAGAGAGAAGTACAGAGAGAAAGGAGAAAAGAGAATAGATTAATGGTACGGTATTGGCCAAGCACTTTTTATTCACCTCTTCCAAACTGAAAGTAAATCATTTATTTCACTCATACTTGCTTTTTGAACATAGGTTTTTTTTCTTAAACATGCCCCTAGTAAAATTATTTTTTTTAAAAAAGCAATCATATTATAAACTTAAAAACACAGTACAGACTTAGAAAACATAAGGCAAAAGTTATTCAAGCTAAGACTGAAAAAAAACATACAATTTCGAACTATAGGCATAGGACATACAATATTCATAATAAGAACACCAATATTTCCTTCAAAAGTTAGGAAGGTAATTATACACATAAAGCTTTCAAATAGCTTGACTAGTCTCATTTATAAAATATTATAGTTTATAACACTATTTAACGTAATAGTCTTGATTTTTACCCATCTCAAGGATTCAGAAGAAATTACTCTGAACTCTTTTCCTAAGCCCAAGATTTTCCATGTCAGTCTTAATGGGAAATAAACCTCATGAGGCCACACATTAACAGGAAATGCTCTCATCCTAAGTAAATGGATTCAGAATCTTTATAGAAGAAACTTCTCTCCCTCCCACTTTCCAATATCTGATATTGTGGAAAAATATCTTTCAGAAAAATCTGTTATCAGAAGGTTGATATAAATAATGAATCACCTATTCTGGCCTTTTCTGAAATTCTTAACAGAGTCAACATACCTTTGTAAGAATAAATTGAAATCCTCAGCCGTGTTATGGCTATGCATGTCTCAAATTAGATCCCATTTTTATTTTTAAGGTACTGATTAATACAAGTCAGGAAAAATTCTGGGAAATTGTAACATATCCATGTATCTCACCAAGCAGCATCTTGTTTCTCTTACAAGCATTTGTCTCATCAGAGACAATTTGCCTAAATCATAAAAATGAACAGGGACCAACAAAAAACAAGGGGAAGAGCTGGGGAAAATGGGTTCATAACACAAACTTAATAATTACATATTGTAGTTGATATAAATCTAAAAAAAATTCAATGGAATAGATGAACTGAAATATTACTGCACAATAAATAAAATTCTAGGGAAGTTTCAAAATAAGGGAGGAAGACTGTTTTGGTAATTATATTTGGGTGAGATTTTTTGGTGCTTTGATCTAAGCTCTTGCGTCCTCTGTTGTCAAATCACACTCATTTTTCTCCACTGACTTTTTGAAAGCCCAGTATTACATGTGTTCGAAGATCAAACTAGCCTACATCAGATGTTATGCTTGGGGCGCTGGGGCGGGGCGGGGGGAGCTCAGTCAGTTGAGCCTCCGACTCTTGATTTCAGCTTGGGTCATGATCCCAGCTTCCTGAGGCCCATGTCCTCAGGCTCCATGCTCAGTGGGAAGTCTGCTTGAGATTCTCTCGCTCTCCCACTGCCCCTCCCTCTCACTCAATCTCTCTCTCTCTCTAAAATAAATAAATCTGAAAAAAAAAAGAAGTTATGCTCAAGAAGTTGCAAATGGGTTATTTTTTTAAAGATGTCTCATCTCATTAATATACAAATCTTATTTTAATAGTATTTCTAGGATTCTTAACAACTCTGTTTATACTATTGTAATCGATCATCTTTTTCAGTCTTTATCGAGCGACTGCCGTATTCACTGGATTATATGCCTCATTACAGGTCAGTTAAATGCTTTACTTAGGAGGTGCACTTCATTTTGTGACTAGAATACTCACGATCTGAATACCCACAGTCTGAGTTCAGACTGACAACTAAAGGAAGCAGAAGAAACAACCTTAAGAAATTATTTAATTGGGGTGTCTTGGTGGCTCAATGGGTTAAAGCCTCTGCCTTCAGCTCAGGTCATGATCCCAGGATCCTGGAATCGAGCCCCGCATCGGGCTCTCTGCTCAGCAGGGAGCCTGCCTCCTCCCCATCCCCTCCACCCCCCCACTCACCCCACCCCGCGCCTGCCTCTCTGCCTACTTGAGATCTGTCAAATAAATAAATAAAATCTTTAAAATATATATATTTAATCAATGGTCTCAAAAGATTGGACTCCAGTCACATTACAGTGAAAGTGGAGATTGAGAGTGGGAAGTCATAGGGAAGCTGACATTTTTCACAACTAGACTATAAAAATATAGATAGAACTAATTTTGTTCCTTGAAATACTTCTAAATATATATACTTTTGAGAATTGTACGCAGAGGATTTGTACTCTTTTTTTTTTTTTAATTATTTATTTATTTGTTTGACAGAGAGAGAGAGAGAGAGAGAGAGAGAGAAAGCACAAGCAGGAGAAGTGGCAGGAAGAGAGAGAGGGAAAGGAAGAAGCAGGCTTTCTGCTGACTGGGGACCCTGAACCAGGGCTTGATCCCAGGGCCCTGGGGTCATGACCTGAGCCGAAGGTAGATGCTTAACTGAACTACCCAGGCGCCCCTTATATTCTGAAGCATAAAGTGTATACACACACCACTTAAGTTTTATTTCACATAATACTCATTGTCTTATTCCTTTTTTTTTTTTTTTAAGATTTTATTTATTTATTTGACAGAGAGAGATCACAGGTAGACAGGCTGGCAGAGAGAGAGAGAGAAGTAGGCTCCCCGCTGAGCAGAGGAGCCTGATGCGGGGCTCGATCCCAGGACCCTGAGATCATGACCTGAGCTGAAGGCAGAGGCTTAACCCACTGAGCCACCCAGGCGCCCTTCATTGTCTTATTCTAAAGCACAGTTATCCTAACTTCTTGGGGACTCGTATTTCTTCAACAAACAATGAGGAAGACGGGATATGTGATACAAAACATTGATAATGATATTTATTATTCTGTAAATATCATCTTACTATTTAATCGATATTGTTTTTTAAAAGAACTTTTCCATCCGTTTTCTCAATCATCATTAGGTAAGATTTTACTTTTAATTCTCTGGTCTTGGTCTAATTTGAGATAAACTGGCATCAGTCATAGCGTAAGTAAAGTTTGCTTCTCTTACTTGTAGGTTATTCAAAATTAAGATTTATTAGGCAGTTTCACTATGGAGAAAATTATTATGTTCTTGCCTATGTCATGACTGGCTGTAGCTCATTTATCATTTATTTGCTATTTTCAAGACTCAAATAAAACAATCCTATAATTTAAGTGGAAACAAGCACACACAAATCATATTCCTGTAACAAAAACTGGCAAGGCAAACATAATTTGTCACTGAAAAGCTTAGTAATATTTAGGATTAGCCAGTCACTGTCATCATCTAATTCTGATTCTAGAAGCTTCTTTCCCCTGGGGGAAAAAAAAATACTCACACAAACAAATTGTATGGATACAAGTTAACACCATTGCCACTAAATGCTTCATAACCTCATAGTGCCCAGCACATAATAAATACTCAGTGAACAGCTCCTGAATTAATACATAATCCAACTCGAGGTGATTACTATTTTAAGCATGTAGCAAAAAGAAAAGATGGTGAAGGGAATCTGGATTTGCTCTACACAGTCATACATACATGATATTTCTGTACAATGTCTTTGTATATTTTAATGGATGTGGTAGAAAGTACAATTTATGAGCCGTATGTAACTCCACCCTATTAAGTATAAAACTGGAGGGAAAAAAAGGAAAATAAGAAAAACTGTATGGATAGTCTTGAGGATTATATTGGCAAGAAGAAAGTGTTGCTATAAAACAGTCTGCAATCATCTAAAAACACAGACCAAAAATACTCCCTTTTCTCCTCTCTGTAATGAGATCATAAATAAATGAATAGTACGATGACATCTGTGCTCAGCCTTCTTCAGTACTCCTGTCTTTTGATCTGGTCCAATATCCTGAATTCTGGCATTATAGCTGTCATTGTTCATTTCCAATTCTCTCTGGAACTAGTTACTCTCTTTTTCGCTCTTCACTTTTAATCCCCGAACTATTTTTATTGTCCATTCAGCCTCTGCAAATACGTTTATATATTTCCTTAAAGTGATTTCATTGTTGTCCTTTGTCAAACTTAATGTCATAAGCTATATCCTGTGGTTAGAGTAAATGACAAATTCAAACTAAGGGTAATTTTATTCTGTATAAAAGGCAGAAACAGAAAAAAAAAAAAAGACTGGTAAAATTTCCCTTCATTTCCCAACAGTTCATAAAAGAGATATAATATATAGCCAACAGCCATATTATTGTTTAGAAAAATAAGATGTTATTAGTTCTATCCATATCTGTACCATATGCAGCACTTTTGAATTGCATTTTTTAATTAGAAAAGGTATGGATGAGAGAGCGTATGCATGCATTGCCAAGCTCTTCCAAATTACGTTGCAAATTACAGAGAAATAAAATTGTTGTGTGCTAAAAACTGTTAGAACTAAATTGTCATAACTAAGAACTATAAAATTGTGTCGAATTCTAATGTAGCTTAAATTTTCTTTTCTTTTAAACTGTAAGTCATACCATACATTTTCCATGTTATATAACCCAATGATGCCTCTGAAATATAAATAAAAAGCACAGGGAACACAAGATGGTTATAGAACATTAAATAATGTATAAATAGCTATTTTTATCATTGAAATTTGATAGTATTTTGAAGAGTATTATTTTCTTGGTTACATCTGGCTTGGACTATTAAAATACATTTGGACCACACTTGTCACTAGCCAGCTGGGCGGTGAAGGAGACAACAAAAAGGCAAACTAATTAAGCAGTAAAAAATCAGTCTTGGATGAAAATTTGCTGGTGTATCATCCATAAAAATAGCCATCTATAAGTGGATAATCAAAAGTTTACAATAATAATGTCACTTGTATAGCACTTTGTAACTTAACAAAATGTTTTCACATGAATCACTCGATTTAATTCTTCAAACACTGTGATGTGGTATTTATTATTTCCATACCAGAGATGAGTCAACCAAAACCCAAAAGGTTAAGGGATTTGACCAAGCACAATACTGGTAGAGTCTGTCATTTATCTAACATACACCGGCTCTTACAACA